ATAGATGCATTGACAAAATTCGTAAAGTTGTATGCTGTTCAAAGTACTAGAACTGCAGAAAACATTAGAGCTATACAGAAATTCATTAATAGTTATGGAATACCAAGACACCTAGTGTCAGACAGAGGAACTTGTTTCACCTCTGTTGACTTTGCAACGTTTTGCAATAGCCTGGGTATCAAACATACTCTATGACCTCCAGTAGATGGGCTCAAGCCAATGGCCAGGTTGAAAGAGTCATGCGCACTCTTATACCCACCATAATGACTTTGATGGAAAATGAAGAAAACTGGGATCAAGCTATACATGAGGTGGAAAGAAACTTGAATGTGGCAGTCAATAAAACCACAAACAAGACACCATTTGAAGCACTACATGGTTACCTGCCTGAATTTGGTAATGGAATACTGAGTGCAATGGTCACAGATGATGATGAATGGAGACCACCAGAAGAAGTTCAACAAGAAATACGGGAAACGATCGCCAGCGAGCAACAAAAATACAAATCTAGATTTGATAAAAAGAGATATCAGGGACTGAAGTATGAAGTCGGGGATCTTGTGGTACTGAAGAGTCAGCCGACAAGTACAGGTCAATCTACAAAGTTGCAGCCAAAATATCGTGGACCGCTTATTGTAACAGAGGTATTATCATGTGACACATATCGTATATCTTCAATAGAAGGCGATGAAGGACGATATTTCACTACGACAGCCAATGTGGCACAAATGAAACTCTACAGAAATCATGACGAGTCAGAGAGCGACAGTCCAGAGGAGGAGTTAAGCGGAAGACAAGAGATTACCACTCAAGAGGAAGAGTCATATGAAATGCAAGAGACTACCCCTCAAGAGGAAGACCAAGAAACAACCACTGAAACAGAAGAGAACACTATAAGGACAAGAAAAGTTAAGAGAAAACCTGCTTATCTTCAAGACTACATAGTTGATGAGAGCGATTAGCTGTTCTTTTAGTTTGTTTTGTTTGAATGTATTATCATCTTTTGAATGTTAGGTGTAACGTTTTCTAGTTTTTTTTGTGTTATAAATGTTTGTTTTATATAGGGATTGGCGAGAGCGCCTTTTAGTCAGGATAGGACGAATGATATAAGTAAGTTAGGGCTAGTAGGGAAATAAAGAAGAAGAAGAATAAGATCAGAATAGAAAAGAGAAGAAGAGGAAGAAGAGAACCTAGGATAGTCAGTAGGGAAGCGATGGGAAAAACCGGGAAAAGTGTGAACTCTCGTACCCTGTACATTTTTAATTCAATATACTTGTTCATAGTTTTAATGAAGAGTATTATTGCCCACAAATAATAAACCTGATATAGGGGTTTATAACAAAAGTATTCTTATTTCATCCACAGAACATTTTATGTGACGTACTTTTATCATTTTCCGTGGGACTATATTATCACGAACTTGATTCGAATCAGACACGTATCTTTCTCACTTTGTGCTATTTTGCTAATATTCGCCATTTTGAGAGATGATGCTGTCGTGGTTATGACGGACGGCGTGGTTTGTGTTGTGTTGTGTTTGATGTGTCTCACAATAAAGTGTGAATTTTGACTTTTGAGGTAGACTAATAGTCAAGAAAATCAAGTGGAAGTGCGTTTTTTGGAAAACATGGTGAGGTAGGTGAGTTGAATTACCAAAATCATAATTTTCTGTTTATGTATCAGCACACGCAGTTGTCTGATTCATAATGGCTTCAGTCATAATTTATTGTCGGGTATCTTCCTCAGTGAATATATAATTATGTCATAAATATAACTACAAGCACACAAGTCCTCTATTATTGTTCCTCTCTTTGTTTCAAATGAACTCAGTAATATTATTTGATTTTTGGGGTTAGGTCATACGCAATATACGAAGGCAATATAGAAAAATGTATCACCAAATAGCTATATAGGTATATCAGTGACCAACAGGCTCCCTCAAAATAGTTTGATTCATGTCATTCACGGAAGCTTTCATTGGAATATATCAATGTCTTCAAGTACTACATTGTTTACAGGTCAGTACTTATGAAGTTTCCTCGGAACCTGATGGATACCTACATTACTAGAACATGCGTGAGCTCTGGACAAACCTACCCTGTTCTGACCTACTTTAGTAGAAATGATGGAATACACATCTGCTGTTTGCCTGGAAAGTTCAGGTATGAAAAAGTGAAATGCATATAGTAGGTAATGTAAATTTATTACTTAGGTATGGTATATATTTCAGAATCCAAGTATCTGGGATTTCATTCAATCAAAAATAGAGAAATTTGGGGGACACAAGAATTAGTAAGTCCTTTATTCTTGAAAGGCGTATGAAAAAATGATGACAACATGAAAATCAACTCTTACATTGGGCTAGAACACTCTAAAATCCACCCACTGCCACAGAGGAGGGTGAAAGTTTCGAGAATCAAGAACACACCATCAGGAAGGGAACTAATCGAGGCAGAATCAAGGTAGGATGATATGAATATTTGATGCTGATATTGTGTATTACAATTGTTTGGTGTTTCAGGCGCATTTCATGAAATCCTCAGCCCATAGAATCATAAAACTGAACTAACTGAAGTGACATACGTGGAAGGATATAATTATAGTCAATCAAATATCCATTTATTTCCAATTGTACTTCTACCTTACATACATTGATTGACTACATTTCTGAATTTATTTTTCTCCTCTGATAAGTGGGTATTCAGCAATGGAGCTGACTATAGTAAATATCAGGGTGATCCAACATAAATGTTCCCTCTTGTAAATTTAGTCATTCCTGGACCGATCGCAGAATTCAAAAACTATTTGGTATATTTTTTTAGCCAGAAAATGTATACTGGGTGTTTCAAAATATATGGGACGCACATCAAGATGTGATAGGGCAGCTCAAAACAATTATAAATGATCCTTCAAAGAATTGACCAGAACTCTTTTGTTTTCAAGTTGTTAAAAATAACTACCATTTTTTATTTCTTCCGATACATTTGAGATGATTGAACCAAGTTTGCTTCATTATACCTATTTATCGTTCTCTGTAGTGGGAGAAATGAGAGGACGCGTCCCACATATTATGAAAAACCCAGTGTGATAAAATCTAGCTATGTGATTATACCAGTATTAGTTTTCAGAATTCACGAATATTGGTCTAGAAATAACCAAGTTACAAGGGTGAACATTTTTGGAGTATCACCCTGTATATTTCGAAAGATCCTAGTAATGTTACAAAAGAGTCAACAATAATGAAACAGGTATGTTATGAAATCGTCCAGGGATATGTACTTTTTACATTCCGAAATGAAGACATGGTACGTGAATGCGTTATCGCAAATACTATTTGAGAATGTACTTTCACTGTAACAAAGCTGTTTCATGACACGTATCAGTTTCGACTCTTACTCAACGTTCTTGCGACGTCCTGCGATATTGTACTGTTGGTGGACATATAACGACTCTAAGATAATCTTTAAGATGTCAATAGCACCAAATTCACAACGTAACAAGGTATCTTGGTTACAATGAAATAACGTTAATAGTATGAGTTTTTGCACAGTGGGCATCCAAACTAGCTCACCACTGCATACCGTTTCTTGCTGTGAGCTCCCTACGTTTTATAAAATATTATTGAAATCCCCGATTTTTCGGACCAATGGAAACGATGAGGCGATGAGGTATAAAAGGAAAGGATCATTATAAACATGGTTTGAGTTAAAAGTTTTACTAAGGTGTACACGCCCGTTTAACAGCCAATTAATCAACGAATATCAAATTGTGATACATAGTCGAATAGAGGATTATGAGGCGAATAAGATGGGCTACAGAAATATTTACAGAATGCCATTTGAAGAAAAAAAGTTGGGTCTACTTCCAATCAAACAGGTTGTTGAAGAAAATTGATATTGAGTTCAAATATGACCCTTATGAATTTCAAATTTTCATCTCTTCAAATAAATACGACATGTTTCCTGTGTCACCCGGTATAATGTGACCCTCTTTAGACACCGGATCAGCCTTAAAGAAAACAGTTTTTGTCCGATTCATTTTTTTTTTGGTTCAGCAGGAACCTTTACATGAATGTGCAAAATATGATTTCAATTTTTTTTTTATGTTGAAATTGCAAAATATCATTCAATTTTGGTCACACTGCGTACAGGATGATTCACCATAAATGTCCCCCCTCTAGCTCACTCATTTTTGAACCGATTTGAAAATTTGAAAAATAATCTGAAATGATTTTTCAGAATTTTTTTCCCGTTGCATCAGAAAATACAGGGTGCTCGAAACAAACAATCTACAGAGTACTACTTGATTTTTTCAAATGGAACACCCTGTCTTTCATTGTATTTTTAGATTCTTCCTGAAGAGCTGATTTCATCGGTGTATCACACTTGGGGTCTAGCAAGAATGATTACAGAAATATTGGGTGTTCAAAATCGAGATTTTTCAACTTTAAGATTTTTTTGTGTCAAAACTATTCATTATTGGTTAAAACGGCTTCCTTGTCCCCATCTCAACTTTTGATTTACTATCTCTGACATTTAATTGGAACATTTACAGGATGGTTCGAAATTCATAATTCTGATCACCCTGTATCTGTTCCAATCATTAAATGTCAGTAGATAGTAAATCGAACGTTAAGATACGGACATGAAAGCCGTTTTGACAGATAATGAATAGTTTTGTCACAAAAAAATTCTAAAGTTGAAAAATCTCGATTTTGAACACCCTATATCCCTGTTATCATTCTTGCTAGACCCCAAGTGTGATGCATTGAACAAATCAGCTCCTCAGGGAGAATATAAAGATACAATGAAAAATAGGGTGTTCCATTAAAAAAAATCAAATTGTACCCTGTAGATCATTTGTTCCGAGCACCCTGTATTTTTTTATGTAACGGAAAAAAACTTAATCGAAAATCATTCGAGATGTTATATCAAATTTTGAAATCTGTACAAAAATAACTGAGCTAGAGGGGGGGACATTTATGGTGAATCACCCTGTACCTGTGAAGCTGGTGGTGGTGGAACATAACCTCTTGATCCTTCAAACAACCATTGCTTGATCTCTTCTTTCGATGCGGTCGCATACCAATGACTACCTCTATCGTTTTCATTTATCAGATGTTTGAAACATGCAAAATCCAAGATTCCTTTGTACTGCCTGACTTCGTTGATCATGCTGTCGCAAACTTTCAAACTGTTCAAACTGACGTTCAACTCCCTCTGGGCTTGGTAAAACGAAGGGTTCTTCTTTCCCTTCTTTTTGTTCTTCAGACTAAATTTTTGGAGGTTCTCGTTCTTGGATTGTCCGCCAATTCTCAGGAGCCTCTCGGTGCTTTTTGCAATCCCTAAAACAGTCACAGGTTTATAAGTTGTGTGATTATTGGGATTATTCGAAAGTTCCGAGGATGAATTCCTAGCTAAATGTCCCCAGATAGCACACAATCGCCTAGGGTCATCCTCAATGTGTCGCCAAACGCCTAGAGAGGACGTTATGTATTCTACAACCTAAGAACATCATCAGGCGTAGATTTAGTGCCGTAATTGTCCTAGAAAAGTTATTTCAGTGACAGCCTGAGGCTGCAGCGGATTGTGTGCCTACGGATGTCTTCAGATGACATTCCATGGAATAACGTGTCGACGACGCCAAAAGGCTTTAACTTCCAGTATAGATACAATAAAGGTACTAGGTAGGAATCAAATCATATTGATAGTAGGTATACTTACTGGACATAAAATATCAATACATTATTTGTTTCAGGAAGTTATTGGGAACACAAACTTGATGATATCATATTATCAGAGCAGAGATGTTTCATTCCAAGAAATTTTGGCTTTGGAATCTATAAAAGATTGTATGCAGGCTTGAACTCTCAGTAGATTCAATGAAGGTAGGTATATAAATCAAAATATTGATAGTATGGGAAGGTACTGGAGATGATACATTATTCATTTCAGGAGGTTATTGAGAACACAAACTTTTGATGCTATCATCAGAGCAGATATGTTCAAATCAAAGATATTTTGGCTTTTTCGGAATCCATAGAAGATTGTAAGCAGGCTTGAACTTTCAGTAAATTGAGCATCAGAAAGTATGTCCAGGGTTCAGAAATCACAAATGATAACAAGAAGAGAACTTACAACAGAATTAGAACAGAACTCAAATCATCATAAAGTATTTATTATCTGTTGATGATGAGTTTTCTCCGAGGAAGAGAGGAACAAAGGTATAGGTGGATCAAATCATAGATATTACATGGATATGAGATATTGAATCATTGTTTGTTTCAGAAGGTTATGGAAAACACGAACTTGATGTCATCTATAAAATATTGTATGAAGGCTTCAACTTTCAGTAGATTCAGCATTAGGAAGCATATCCAGAGTTGAGAAATCAAAAACAACATAGAGAAATATTACCAATGGGCAATAACTTCTAGTAGAGCTCAACAAGAAGCTGAGATACATTTTTTCAAAACAAAACTCGAAAATCTCCACCAATAAGTTATAAATAATAGAATGTAAGGTTTTTATTTGAACATATTATTATTCCAGGGAAATTTCGCAAATATCATGATATCCATATTCTTTCAATGAAATTTCATTTTTATCAACCTATCCCTAGACATTTTTGAATACTACCTAAAGATCCCAGAAGACCTTATAGGGATGTTCTAAGACGTTATTAGGATGTAGAGAACGGTAACAGGAGGACGGGCTAGGGACGTCCTCAGGCTCGCTCTCGACGTCCTGAGGACATTATTGTGAACGCCTCAGAAGGGCCTCAAAAGGTATTTGTGCTATCTGGGTCTAGTCCGATATATTACCATACTTCTAACGAAGTTACTAGGATTTCAGTTTTCATCTGGGTATCAACATTTCAAATTATTCTGGGTAAATAGCAGGAAGCTAGCGACGCCGTCCTTTTTCGTATGGAATTCAAATAATATCGCGTATTTTGATATTATTCAAAAGTCCGGACTTTTGTTAAACAATTTTGATTTATCTACGATTGAATAATAACTACACTCGAGAGCAGCACACAAAACGCCAGTTGTTGATGCCGCAACAACTACCGACCTGACCTGACCAGACCGCTATTGCCGAGCTCCGAACCAAAAAGTATCGATGTGGGCCGGCCTGTAAAGATACTGAATGGTGTAAAAACTTAAACGATAAGATTTTCACAAAATTCTCAATCACAGGACATGTTTCGCTAACACAGTAGCTTCATCAGGTGAAATACCGGTACAATGAACTGACTAACCTTGGCCATTCCTCCTATTAAGTAGTTGAGGTAGTTGAGAAAACCTTGCGCCGCCAAAACCACTATACAGAGTGGGCCTTTGAAAACGAAACAGAGGCTCTGTAGGTCGCCAAAACCGGATTATGAAAAGAATCTGAGACACGTCAACTACGTTTTCGAGGGGGACATCGTCCTACAATATTTTCAGCCCTGCGGCGTTGCCGCTGCTAACGAAAAGAAGCAACAACTTTGTTATTTCAAATGGAACACCTTGTATTTCATTGCATTTTTAGATTCTCCCCGAAGAGCTGATTTCATCAATGCATCACACTTGGGGTCTAGCTGTAATGGTTTCAGGGATATAAAGTGTTCAAAATCGAGATTTTTCAACTTTGACATTTTTTTGTGTCGAAACTATTCATTATTGGTCGAAACGGCTCTCATGTCCCTATCTCAACTTGTGATTTACTATCTACTGACATTTAATTGGACCAGATACAGGGTGATCAGAATTCTGAATCTTGAACCACCCTGTATTTGTTTCAAATAAATGTCAGTAGATAGTAAATCACAAGTTGAGATCGAGACATGAGAGCCGTTTTGACCAATAATGAATAGTTTCGACACAAAAAAATGTTAAAGTTGAAAAATCTCGATTTTGAACAATTTATATCCCTGAAACCATTACAGCTAGACCCTAAGTGTGATGCATTGATGAAATCAGCTCTTCGGGGAGAATCTAAAAATGCAATAAAATACAAGGTGTTCCATTTGAAATAACAAAGTTGTTGCTTCTTCTCTTTAGAAGCGGCAACGCCGCAGGGCTGAAAATATTTTAGAAAGATGTCCCCCTCGAAAATGTAGTTGACCAGTTTCAGTTTTTTTTGATAATCCGGTTTTGGCGACCTACAGAGCCTCTGTTTCGTTTTCAAAGGCCCACTCTGTATATATTTTTGAAATTCCATCACGAAAAATCGTTCAACGGTGAGAAGAAATTTTGAATTGACTCGGCCGTTAGTTAATGAAAATCTATGGCAAATGTAAAAACTTCACAAACGATAAGATTTCCACAAAATTCTCAAACACACGACATGTAGCTTCGTCAGGTGATATACTGGTACAATGAACTAAACTAACATTGACCTGCTTAACTTTTATCATTGTCAGTGGCGTAGCTATGGACGGGCAGTTCGGTGCGGTGCACCGGGGCCCCGGGGCATTGGGGCCCCGGAGGGGCCCCATATTCCAATCTGCATTAGCAGGTATAATGCAAGAAAGTATTGGTGTGCAAATTAATTCATGCGAACCCTGTCACTTTTTTAATCCTTGACAGATTTTCGTGAAATTTCGATCAAATCGTAGAATCATGTTCCGGAATGTTGGTCTAAATATTAGTTTAGGAAATACCAAAGTTACTATTTCACCCTTTACTTCTTAACGCCATGTGGCAAAATTGAGTTATTGAACTTGGCTTCATTATGCTCTGGATTGAAGTTTGATCCCTTCCTAACACAATGGTTGCTGATTCACGTCAATAACTCGTTTTTAAGAGAATATACGAGTGTTTTAAGAAATTATGGCATTTTTCAATTATTTTTAAACATAATCAGATCCTACATCAACTTATTGTTTAACAACTTGAGGAATCAATATTACTAATTTTTACCTCATTTTTATAGCACTTACCTGAAAAAACCTTGAATACAAAAAACAAACAAAAAGCAGACCTGTATTCAATAACCAGTATGCTCTCCTCGAGTTTGAATTACAGCATTTAACCGCCCTGTCATCGAGTTGATCAAATTTCTCAAGTGGACTTGGAGAATAACTTAAATTCTTCAATTGTAGCTCTTGAAGAGTCTCTGACAAGGCCAGACGAATTCGAATGAATCTCTGAAGTTCATCCCTAAGATACTCTAGAGGTTTTGAATTATTGTTGACAAAAATTTAAAAAATCCATACTTTCTTCGAACACTTGTATATATTCTCTTTAAAAGGAGATATTGACGTGTATCTTGAACCAATATGCTGAGAAAGGACGAAAAAGGATCAAATTTCAATCCTAAACATAATGAAGCCAAGTTTAACCACGCACTTTTTCCACAGGGCAATAGGAAGTTAAGGGTAAAAGAGTAACTTTTGTTTGTCCCTATATAATGATCAAACCATCAGCTTTCCTCGGGACCTACTATTCAAGAAAATATTCCGAAACATGAATATCGGACAAGAATTAAAAAATTACAGGGCGAAATTTTATGGTGGCCGGTTTTTTTTGCCGGTGAGTGTATATTCCCTACTTAATCATTATTGCTGGGCGCCAATGAATGTTGAACTGACTGTGATTTTACAATATGAAATATTGCTGCCAGCAGCGGGACCAGATCATAATCGTCAGTTGAAAGCTCGGTTGGAAGCTAATCAAAACGGTCACAGGCTGAATATACTTACCTATGAAAATTTGCGTCCTTATACACGTGTCCTAAATTTTTGATTGTTTCAATTTGGTTGCCCTGTTGGAGTCATTTTCATGCTACCAAAATCTTGAATTATAAAATGGTACTCATTGATAATAACTGTCAGATTCAAAAACCATTAGTTGTTTCAACTAAATACCGCGTTAGATTGAAATTTCTGCAAAAGTCACTGCATGATACAAACGGAGGTCAGGCGATGGACAAATAGCTTCACTCAGATTGCAGAGAACAAGCGGAGGTATCAGGTGGCTGCCATGGCTCGTCAACATTTGCAAATACAATTCTTAAACTTTGTCATTTCGTGACTTCATTCGTTCAGTTGTTTTCATTGGAAATTAAATTAACTGATGGGGCTACTAGATTCATACTCAAGAGACAAATATATTCGATTCTCATTTTGAACTTTTAAACCAGGCAGCTTGACCTTCAAATTTCGAAAAGAATTGCCTGAAGCGCAATTTTGCTCATATCAGCTTTCTCAAATTTCAAACTCATAACGACTCGCCACTACAATAAGAGATATACATTTTTAACAATTCTGTTCTTTTTTCTCTAACTCTTGGGTTGGAAAATTTTCTCAGTGAATTAGGGCCCCATCAACCCTCGTTGCACCGGGGCCCCGACACCTTTATATATCCTACTTTCTCAACCTGAAGAAGTTACCTGTGGACAGGTACGATAAACCTCCATTTTCGGAAATTAGGCACAATATTTACATTAAAAGAGAAAGCAATCTGGATGATATATGCTCATCTGTGCTATAGGTACTTTTGTTTACCTTCGAGAAATTGATCTAGAGCATGGTTGGTGTAACAGATCACCAACATGGGGGTGTGATTGAACCAAGCTTCTTTATTCCTCAGCAGGGTGTCTGCGATTTTCAGTCCCAGGAAAGTCTTTCCAGTTCCTGGAGGACCCTGTATGACTGAGATTTCCTGACTGAGGGCAGCTCTGGAAAAAAAAATAAGTCAGACACGAAATGAATAGTATACACGGTGAACAAAGGGTAGGTAACCATGGGAAATAGGAAAAAATTATTCGAATCGGTTGTACCACGTAGTATATAGGTTCAATCATCAGCGAAATTCAGTCTAATCCTCAGTTACACGTTTATACCGAGGTTAAAACAATCTAACTAAACGAATATACTGTTATTTGCAATCTTAGTGAACCTCAAATTCTGATGACATCACTCAAATATCTCTGCGTTTCTGAATTCTGATTAGCAATTATGGCGTCTTGGAGGCCTTCCAAGGAAGCCAAATTTGGGTAGATGACAGCAAGAAATGGAACGCGTCTTGTGTAACTCTCATCGTCACATAAAATGCGTCAAATTACGACACGTTTACTAAATACGTAAAAAGATATCCATTTATCCCGAAACAAATTATTATATTCCACCGCTGTTGGCAGTAGATTCACCAAGGATTTGCAGACGCGTGAACGGAAATTGTTTTTCCTACGACAACCTATAAGAGTACCACTGTGTTGTGCTCAGAAAGTATATCATATCACCATCAGTGTGGCAATATTCCCGCACGCTCACACGTGGTCTTTGTATGGTCTACTTGATGTATGGATCATTATAATACTGAATTATCATATTTCAATACTCATCATCACTGATTTTTCTTACAGTACGTAATGCTCAGTTCCGAGAGAAAAAGAACCATGCAACATATCTGCTATTACATTTCATGCAATTTATTTTCTTGTTCAGGTGGTTAGATAACAGAAAAACATATCATATATGAATAATAGTAATATTCTTTTAACCAACTTTGACTGAGATTATTCAAGATTCTCAGTGCAGCTTAATAGCCCAGTTGTATTACATGTTTCAATTATCTTAGTCTGATATGTGAGTTGTCTTGATAAGAACTTATTGAGACTATTCCTTGCCCCACACCCCAACTGAGCTTGCTATTCATCTGGTGTTGTAGTGAGAAAGAGGTGAGACTGGATTAATTCTAGTAATTCTGTAGTTCTGTGCTGAACATTGTGAGGTTATATTTTCATTTTGACATTCTTTTAGCATTGAAGTTTCAGTCCAACAACAATTTTAGGTGATAAAATCCAATAAAGACATATTATTACAACTCTAAGGCTGAAGCATGCAGTGCAAGAGGCCAGATAATAATTATGAGATGGAAATAATGCTTGACGGCAATTCGATTCTAGTGCAGAACAGCGTACATAATTTATGCTTTGCATAGGTCGCGTCCACGATGACCGATCGTAGAGGTGAAACATTAAAACACAACTTCACTTTTCTGTAAAAAATTTGACAACCTCTCTTTTTTTCAAAGGAATCAAAGGATTCAAATAGCTTTTCACAATATGGCTATTAATTAGTTCAAGCATGCCATCACATTGTGCTGTTGTACAATGCACAAAAAATGCAGCCAGAGACGAAGGAATATGATTTTTCAGGTAAACAGTGATCTCAAATAGTTTCCATCTTAAAATTTCGTCATTTGTCATATGAACATGAATATTCCATTGTTTGAATCAAGTATACAATCCCAGGAACAGGTAGATTCCTGATTATGCCATTTTATTATTCTTTCCTTTATTCCAGATTCTTGTGCAGTGCCCAAGCCGTTGCACCGTTATCGAAAACATTTTGAAATTTTCCCAATTGACTTATGAGTTATAACAAAAGAAAAACAACAAATATCTCAAAGTCGGTCGACCATACTTTATAAAACTATTGAAATATACATGTGACCGGTTTTGGCGCAACGGCCATCACCAGACAAAAAAGTAAGCTAATAAGTATAGCATTATGGAAAATCAAACATGAGGGCAACTCAAGTCTTCAACGGGCTATCAGTCAGGTACATGTGGTTCTTATTTTTGAATTTGGAAAAGAGCCAGAAAAAACTGGCTCTGATAAGATTGAATATCTTATCTTGAAAGGTTTTTTTTTATTATGAACTACATAATATAATTAAGGAAGCCATATCAGTGATCAGTGAGCGACAGAACACGGATTTCCGATACGATGTTCAATCTTATCAAAGCCAAATTTTTCTGGCTCTTTACTAAGTTTATAAAGAACCTCATGTTTGATTTTCCCTAGTGCTACTTATTAGCTATATGCTTTGGTATGTTTTCAAAAAAATTGTCACTTTCCTCTATTTGTATTGTCATATTTCATATTTTTACAGGTACTTTCTTGTCTGATGATGGCCGTTGCGCCGAAACCGGTTACATGTATATTTTAATAGTTTTATAAAGTGTGATCGACCGACTTCGAGATATTTGTTGTTTTTCTTTTGAAACTACTTTGGACCACTTCGAGATATGGATGATTTTCATGATTTATAAATTATAAAATAGTCGACAGGGTTATTTTATCATTAGAAAATTGCTGCTATGTATAATTTATAGCATAAAACATGTAATTTTCCTATACTTTTCATTTTATGTTGCCAGTAACCTAAATAAAATATTACAATAAGATTACATTTGTTCATTGAATTCGCGAAAATCACGAACCAATAGATGGCTCTATTATACAGGGTGTTCATTTCAGGACTTCCCACCCTAATTTTCTCGAAATGTGTGTATGTTTTTGAAAAATACCGAGACACGTCAACTACATTTTCGAGGGGGACATGGTTCTAAAATATTTTCAGCCCCGCGGCGTTGCCGCTTCTAACGAAAAGAAGCAACAACTTTGTTATTTCAAATGGAACACCCTGTATTTTATTGCATTTTTAGATTCTCCCTGAAAAGCTGATTTCATCGATGTATCACACTTGGGGTCTAGCAGGAATGATTACAGAGATATAGGGTGTTCAAAATCGAGATTTTACAACTTTAGGATTTTTTTGAGTCGAAACTATTCATTATTGGTCAAAACGGCTTATATGTCCCTATCTCAACTTTTGATTTACTATCTACTGACATTTATTTGAATCAAAAGTTGAGATAGGGACATATAAGCCGTTTTGACCAATAATGAATAGTTTCGACTCAAAAAAATCCTAAAGTTGTAAAATCTCGATTTTGAACACCCTATATCTCTGTAATCATTCCTGCTAGACCCCAAGTGTGATACATTGATGAAATCAGCTTTTCAGGGAGAATCTAAAAATGCAAGAAAATACAGGGTGTTCCATTTGAAATAACAAAGTTGTTGCTTCTTTTCGTTAGAAGCGGCAACGCCGCGGGGCTCAAAATATTTTAAAATCATGTCCCCCTCGAAAATGTAGTTGACGTGTCTCGGGATTTTTCAAAAACATACACACATTTCGAGAAAATTAGGGTGGGAAGTCCTGAAATGAACACCCTGTATGTCAAATCAACGTCAAATTTCCAACTGAGTATGAACAACAAAAACATTGCCGTATGCACTCATTGCAAATTGGTTATTTCCAAATCATTTTGCAAAATAGTGAATAATAAGTTGACTTCTAGAAATACGTACAGGGTCTCCAGTATGGAAAAAATTACGTTTTGTGCAGAGATATTGCCATTTTGATGTGGACAATGGTGTTATTCATCATTGATATCACACTACAATCCCACAGTTTTCAAACATATGAAATGATCGGAATGGTCCACTCAACACTTGCATGGACTGGAATGGAACCATACAAACAATCAGCTATTACAACAATATGGTATAGGTATGAAGAAATAATTGAATTCATCAAGAAATATCACTGGCTTTTATGAAGGAGATGGACTTCTAGTGAAGGGGTTGGGAAAGAAGATATGGTTGGAGAGGCTGCTCAGAATGAACAATATCATCGATTTACATAAACAAGGATCTCCAGCAATCGAGGACTTGTTATTCTCAAGATCGAATAATTGCAACCAACCTTAATACAATGATTCTAATTGTGCTTCAGAAAATATATATTATATTATTATAAGGTAGGTACTGGTTTCTTCATTGTAAACAATAAAATTTCATGCAATAATTCGAGTTCTTTCATCAGGGAGAAATGAGGTTCTGGAATATGCACTTCAACAAATAAATTATTTTCAAATAAAACACATATTTATGAAATTCAAAACAATGGTCGCCATATTTGTTGTTCATACTCGCAAGACTTGTACAGTTAGCCACCAGAGGCCGCACACTTCGTGATTTTCGCGAATAGGAAATGCTACTGTACTTCATACACAATGTTGCAATAACTTTGCTGGAATAAATCATTCGAGAACATCACATTCATAATATTGCTAAACGACCGTTTCAGTAGTTGCAGCGACCTTGCAGTAAGATACCGACTATATCTGATGTAACATAACACACAACATTGAAATACTGCTGCAATATTGTTGACATATTACTCTGCTTAGTGGGTCGTAGGAAAAATAGTGTACCTTTGGAAAGTGTATTTCATGCATTCGTTACATTTCCGCACTCGTCCCTAACAACACGGGATCTTGCTGGTACATCCCGCTAAGGTCCTACAAATGTCCCAATGTTTCAGACTAAGGTACGATATCCCAGAGATGTTTCTCTTGGGACATCCATCAGATGTTTTCATTGGATGTTCTAGAAACATCCCATTCGATCTTTTTTATGAACAATACCATTGTTCCATATTTGCTAATGATGATTGACATGATTGAACAGTTTAAACAATTGTGACATTTGAAACATTGAAAAGTTGGTAAAAAATGGAAATCAAAACTGTATTCGTACTCACATACTGATACTTATACCAACGCCGGCTAATCTCATCGATAACAAATTGAAATAATCATACTAAATATGCCTCAATAAGATTACGAAAGTACCTGCTTAACTTCATGAACCATGTAATAAACGACAAAATTGAATTATATCTCTTCAGCATAATTATTGCTGAATTTATTTGTTATACCAGCCGATAGATAGCGGTAAAACTACGTTGCTAAGAGTCACTAACAGCCGTCGGCCCAGCGTCAACGAATATGAGCCTCAAACAACTTTTATCATCTTCCATTAGTTATTGGACCGCACCGACCTTATATATTCGGACTCGGATTGTTACTTTATATCTGGAAATAGGTCGGCCATTTTCAGGATATCAGATTGAAAATAATGCATACCGTGTCATCCATTACTGTCATCAAACAGAAAACATCCTAAAAGTCTCGTTAAGATGTTCCATATCAAGTACCCTGAATGTCTCTGGTACATCCCGTATCATCCCACAAACATTCTGATGGGATGTTTATAAGACATCGCAAATGCTGACACGGGTGTTGCCAGCAACATCCCAAGAATGTCCCAAGGAAAATAGGGATTTTCCAGAGATGTTCCTATCATCCCATATGGATGTTTCTACGATGTCTTACAGATGTAATTGTGTTATTAGGGGTCTCTATGCGGCGTCGTGCTAAATATCACTCGTGCGAAATATATCACTTATTTCCACACTAGTTATGTAATATACTCTTTCGATGCATCTGACTTTGCAAAAACCACAATTACCACTTCTAGAAAACTCACCTGAAGGCAGTTACTTGAGAGCCGTTCAGGTCTCTGATAACCCTCCAATCTCTTAGGTAAACATTGTCGTCGACCATGTATTCAGGTTGGTGAACTCTAGAATTGCCGAATATGATGTAGTCCTGCATAGGGAACTTCTCGTTGGACATTCTTTGCATGGCCATGAGCACGTGGTAGTACGGTTCGAAGTACACTTTGCTTTCTACCATTATGTAATCGACGTTGAAAATGATCTGGGAAAAATATACGGGGGTGAGTCAATTTTTGTTGCAGAAATTTAACAGCTTGAGAGAAATTTTTTTGAGACGATTATTTTCAACGCGTTCCGAATCGCACTCGAATCGGTTTGAGCACGCTATGATTCGTCCGAGTAACGATTAGAACGCTTGTAGATATTCATTATGACGTCATGGATTACGTCACTCCTCGCGCTCAGAGTGCTCACAGTTCAGTGGTGAAGCGGTCTAAGCGCTGCTGTCAATAGTGTCACTACTGATGAAACTCCATAGGTACTGTCAAGTACTGTTATACAAAATACATCAGAGACGACTCTCTCTACATGATTTTTGATACGAGGTATTGAAATCAATCAATCTCTATATATGTATGAAATTGAACGAAGGCGATACAACTGCTGCATCAGCTTCCTCATCATCAGTACTTGACGAAGATATATTATTTCGATAACGCTACCTTCATCACTGTGTCGATAATGAGAGAAATATTCACCAAAGGTTCTCCATTTCTGCATGGACTATGATTTGTTGGTCAAGAAAAAAATGTATGTGATGTCATGTAACGGATTTCATAAGCGCGATCAAAATTCGGTCCACATCAGATCAATAGTCGTCAAAGCGTGCAAGACAGACTGTTTCGGCTTGCCACGCCACATCAGTTGCCCTAGGCCAGCTGACAATCAATCCACGAAGGGTACCTCGATATACAAGGTGATTCTAAAATAGGTGGTCAAACTTTGGGAGCATATAGAGTGGGTGAAATAGTTACGAAAACCTCTGTGAATTTTTTTTCTGAGGTGACCCCCAAGAAAGATACAGCCCCTCAAAGGGGGGCCTCGGAGAATGATTTTGTATTATTATCTCCAACACCTTGTACAATGAAAATCTGAAACTTTGTCCATCCACTTACTATTCAGTGCCGGTTCGAATGGAGTTGAAATCACCTCAAAATAAAATACAGGGGTGTGTCAAAATAGGGAGGTAGGGGGTAAAAATAACCCCAACTTTTTTGTTCATCGCAATTTCAGTTTTTTGACATGAAATTATGAAATCACAGGGCTATTTACATGGAAAAGGAGCTCTTGTTGAATCTCGATAAACTGAACCATTAGCGAATAAAATTTATTTTTCCAAGATTTCATTTAAATTGCAATTTTGGTATGCACTTATTACGAAAATCATAAAAAAACAGGCCTTGATTCAAACTTCAATTTTCATGAAGCTGATGAAAAAACCATCTCTGAAATAATTCTTTCAATAAAATTGAAGGCAACTGGTAATGATGAAGTTAATATAACACTCTTGCACTTATGTTGTCCCTTTATCATAACTTTCATAATACACATCATTAATGAATGTATTCGGCAGAGATATTTTCTCTCTACCTGGAAGAATGCTAAAGTGGTTCCGATTCCGAAAGTAGCACACCCAACAAGTTATGATGACCTCCGGTCCATAAGCGTTTTACCAACTTTATCAAAAATTTTTGAAAAAATATTAGAAATGCAAATGACAAAATATTTGAATGATAACTCAATATTGCCCTCCAAGCAATCAGGATTCAGAAGTGGTTTCAGCTGTGCTTCAGCTCTAGCAAACGTTATTGATGATGTGATTAAAGCAACCGATAAGGGTAAGATTACTGTTCTCGTTTGTCTTGACTATTCGAAGGCGTTCGATATGATCAATCATAAGATTCTATTAGCTAAACTTGAATTTTTTGGGTTCAGTAAAGAGGCATGCACATTGTTATCATCTTATCTAAATGAAAGGACTCAAACAGTCGAACTTGATAATATTACCTCAACCCCATTAGTAGTGAAATCAGGAGTTCCACAAGGAAGCATTTTGGGGCCACTTCTATTCACATGCTATACTGCCATTTTCACTGACGCGATAAAACACTGTAACTATCACTTCTATGCTGACGATACTCAGCTGTACTACTCGTTTGAACCGTCTAAGCTAGATGAAGCACGATTTGCAATAAATAGTGATCTAGATGCAATTTTCCGAATTTCCTCACAGCATTCATTGAAAATCAATCCCAACAAATCCTCAGCCATGATATTTTGCAATGACAATTATCAAGATCACATAAGAAATAACATGATAATTGAAATTGATGGAACAACAATACCCTTCAAATCTGCTTGCAAGAATCTTGGTCTAATGGTTGACTCTAAAATGCGGTTCAAGGAACATATCACTTCGAAATTGAGAAATTCTTACTCAGCCCTGAAATTATTATATCCACAGAGACAATTCTTTTCATTAAAAACTAAAAAAAATTTATGTGATACATTAATACTGTCGCAGTTCAATCACTGTGACATTGTATATGGACCTTGTCTAGATAATACTGATATTCGTCGAGTTCAAAAGGTCCAGAACTGTTGTATTCGGCTTATTTATGGTATAAAAAAACGGGAGGGAGTTTCTCATAAACTGAAGGAGTTGAATTGGCTCAATATGAAAAACAGAAGGCTTCATCACATGGGTTGTTTCTTTCACAATTTGATTCTTACCAAAACTCCGCCCTATTTATTCGAAAAAGTGTCGTACCGCACGGATGTGCATAACCTGAATATAAGGCGTCAAACCATTTTAACAATTCCAAGTCACTCCAAAACTATATTTGAACGGTCTTTTTCCTATAATATTGCATGCAGTATTAACACTCTGTACAACATAGACCCCTCTCTCCTCAATAGATCACGAACCTCATTCAAGATCAAATATAAAAGTATTCTTCTAGACACTCAATAGCCGAAAGTTACTCTTATTTCTCTTCTTCCTCTTTCCTCCATCTCCTTCTCTCTTCTTTGTTCTTTTCTGCTTTCTTTTTCCTCCTTTTATATACCAATGATATACTTGCCAACTTATTTCATTTTTATTCTTCATCCGAATGGCATTGGTGGAAGAACAGAAGTGGATGCGTTCCACATTCTGAACCTACATGCCAATTGTTTATCGAAATGTATATTTGCAATATCTATATGATGTATATCCACATATGATGAACAATAAATGTATTATTATTATTATTATTACTCAAGTTTAATTATCTAGTTCAAATCTTGCAACTGAATTTTTACCTACTTCTAATCGTCTGATCAACTTGGAATCTGGCAGATGACAGTTGACAACGCGTTATGGATTTTTTGATAGAAAAAAATATGGCGGCTCCAATGTGGCTGACCAGATTTGTGATTATGGTTCGATTCGATTCAAATTGGTTTGAAAGTGTTTTTGGGGTTGGAAATTTTGAATTCGTTGTCGGAATTCATGAATTAAAAATAGACGACGAGTTTCGTGATTATGGTCTGATCCTATTGAAAATACTAAAATAAGAAATATTGTTACAAACAAGCTTTTTTTTTAAATTTTATTCGCTAATAGTTCATTTTATCGAGATGCAACTAGAGCACCTTTTCTATGTAAATAGCCCTGAGATTTCATAATTTCATGTCAAAAAACTGAAATTGCGATGAACAAAAAAGTTGGGGTTATTTTTACCCCCTACCTCCCTATTTTGACACACCCCTGTATTTTATTTTGAGGTGATTTCAACTCCATTCTAACCGGCACTGAATAGTAAGTGGATGGACAAAATTTCAGATTTTCATTATACAAGGTGTTGGAGATAATCTCGGAGATAATAATACAAAATCATTCTCCGAGGCCCCCCTTTGAGGGGCTGTATCTTTCTTGGGGGTCACTTCAGAAAAAAAATTTACAGAGGTTTTCGTAACTATTTCACCCACTCTATATGCTCCCAAAGTTTGACCACCTATTTTAGAATCACCTTGTATGATACAAATCAAAGCTCGCAGGGGATAGAAGGACGATCTAGCATTCAGAGCCATCTAGTAATCGAAATAATTGAAAATATATTGAATATAGTGAGGAAAAGTATCACTTTCCACACTTTCTGGGAAAATATTCAATTTCATACAGGTTATAGATCTGTATGAGTGCATCAGACATGAACGTTATTTATTTATTAATTTCAAATTACATCCCAGAAGCCTAATAACAGGTGAATATAATCCGAAGCTAAGTGGTTAAAAACAGTATTGGGTAAATCTCGCAGCCTTGACCGGAGATGATTCCGCACGATTCTCTATTGCGTTCCACTCAACGCACGATGTTCTTTGAACATTATAGGGATTCCCTTCCGTGCGCTCCAAGCGATAAAAAAAACAGAGCTGCTTCTAAGGAGACGTATGGAGTTAGTAACAAAGCCTACTGAGAACCCCAATGAGCTGATCGAAGGACCTCATATACCAACCAAGTACATATACTACTACCATGTTCATTCATTGCATTTGAATGAGGTAATTGAGTATATGTACTTCGTTGGTATGTATGTATGTATGTACATACCAACTGGCCATCCACCTTTCGCTCATGTGTGTTCTGTGTAGGCTTTGTTACTTACTCCATACGCTTAAGGTGCATCACTGTTGATTGGAATGAACAGCGAATCGTGCGGAATCATATCCGGCCGAGGCTACGAAAATTAGAATTTATAACTCGTTTTATAAATAAAAATCATCTGCTCTGCCAGGAATCGAACCTAGCAATCTTTCGGCGTTCTAATTGCTAGTCGAGCTCTCAATCACTGCGCTATTATGCCGATTTGCATTTAAATATCATCAGTCATCATACTCGGTCATAAAAAATAGGCAAGTCGGCTGACTCATAAAATAGGTATGCCAAAAATTCGGTAGTCAATCAAGAATCGGATGTTTTTTCTTGTTAATCGTTTGTATATATCTTTTATGATGATGAAAATTATTAAAGAAATATTCATATTCGAAAGTTACCCGCGAATAAATTCCGTACACACATATGATTTCAATGAAGGTGTAGTAGCTCAGTTGTAATATAAGTTTGATTTGTATCCAAGTGATAGCGGAGGACCGGGGTTCGAATCCCGTGGCGATCTTTTTTTTTATTGAATGTATTGGCAGACATGTACTGGCCCTGATGGCCAGAATCTCCTATTGGTACTGGCCCATCAATCTTCACAGGGATTTTACCGTTCTGGCCAATTCTGGCGAGCACAATGCCGACCAAAATTGTTTGCTGGGAAGTGATTGGCTAGAATTAGGCATTTACATTGGTTGAAACAACGAAAACGTCACATATTAACATGTGAAAAAAATAATCGAAGTGAAATTTAGAGTGTTCAACAAGAATTACACCTGCTTTGCAGGAATCTTTATAATTCTTTTGAAGTAATCAAATATCTGCCAATCTGATTCTTTGATTTGTTATTAAAAAATTGCGAACTTAGTGGTTGTTTAGTAGTTTGAAGTGAAATGGAAGATAAAAATAAGGATTATATATCAATGGTAAATATCATTGTAACGTCTTTACAAGTAGATGCATAGATATCGGAACGATGTAGTTCAATGTTCTGTGTAGCATATAGCCAGAAAAGTAGTAGTTTTTTTCTCTCGTTATATGTATACTTGAACTATTGTGGTAATGACTTTGTATTTCTCCCTCTTTCTGACAATTTCATTCCACTTCGAGTATATGTCATTATCCTATTTGAAAGTTCATTTTGTTAGTGCAATAAATCGTTTTTTTTTAAATCAACACCATTTCATTAGGTTCACCTGTATGTATGTATGTATATATGTATGTATGTATTAAGTGTTTGGGATCACACGTTAAAAGGTAAGGCCCCCGTCATTCCTTGCTCGCACAAGACTTTCGAAGACTTCTGAGGGTTGCCCGTAAGGGGGCAACCGAATGACGGATAGAACAATTATAGAACAATTTTAGAACAAAAAACAAGAATTTAACCGACTTCGTTGAACTCAGTTTCGACCCACTTTAAATGGACCGATTGATTTGGAATTTAACAGGTGTACATAGTTCGAGTGGCAGTTCATCATGAAAAATTTTTTAAATGAAAAAACAAAATGGCGGACGAGTTTAGTAATTATGATCAGATTCTATTCAAAATTGGTATCTGGGGTTTTTCGTGGTTGGAGATGATGATTCTTTCGTAGAAATTAGTAAATTCAAGATGGCGGATCCAATATGACAGACGAATTTTGATATGATCCGAACCTGTTCAAAATTTGTATGTGAGGGTTTTTGGTATGGTAGATTATGATTCTTTCGTCAAAATTTTAAAATTCAAGATGGTGGATCCAATATTGCGGGCGAGTTTTGTAATTATGATTCGATTCTAATTCAAAATTGATATCTGGGGGTTTTCGAAGTCGGAGATAATGATTCTTTTGTCGAAATTAGTAAATTCAAGATAGCGGATCCAATATGACAGACGAATTTTGTTATTAAAATCCGAATCTATTCAAAATTTGTATCTGGGAGTTTTCGGGATCTGATTCTATTCTGAGGGTATTTGGGGGTTAACGAGGTCGGAGATTATGATTCTTTCGTCAACATTAGGTACTTACAGATAATATAAAAACACAACAACAACACGCTTTTGTGGTTAGCCGAACTAAAAAATATGAAATAAATAGTAGTTCAAAAAACTAAAGGAACACCCTTTTATAGATAGCCTAATTAAGAAGAAGTAGAAAATACAATAATATAAGTGTGTTGAAAAATACACAACATAGAATGTACGGATTATACGGATATGCTGATATTTTCTGTTGTGTATTAATTTGAAAAAAATCATTATTTCATTTTCTACTTCTTTTTAGTTTGGCCAACTATAAAAGGGTGTTTCTTTAGTTTTTTGATTATTCATTTTCATTTCGTTCGAGCAATTGGACGCAGCTAAACTAATAAAGAAAACGAAATACTAACGTTCAAATCAGTGTTGTTATTGTCGTCGAAACCGATAACGAGCTCCCCTTTCTTGATCATATCAGCGTCCCTTTTTACAATTTTGGCGAACAACAAATTCACGAATTTGTCCCTGGTGAGACAAACCAGCGACCCGAACATAAACTGTTTGGAGTTCTCGAACTTCAGCGCCCTCGTTTTCTTCGAGAAGTCGAATTTGATGCGGAAGCACTTCAACTCATTGATGTTCTCTTCGGACAGGAAGTGCACCTTCGGGTGGATTTTGATATTGTCGTAGCGTTTTTGCGTGGGGTTTTCCAGGAACTGGCAAATGCCGTCTCTCAGGGGCTTGACGAAATCCTCACGAAGAAGTCTGAATTGCACATCCAAGTAGTGATCGATGGACCTGGAAATTATCCGGTTGTTATAATTTATTGTGTCACAAGGGCAGAAAATAAGCTTTGGCAACCCGCGGCTATTAGCTGCACGAACGGAGCGTGGGTAGCTGGTAGCTATAAGGGTTGCTATAATATATTGTGTCACAAGGGCTCGTGCACCTACCTACCCAGCGAGCACAAACATCCCTGGGATGTTTTGAAAATGTTGGCATGAAGATGTATTTTTGAGACGTAATGTGCACTCCCCAAAGAGGTCTCTGAAGGATATTGAAGTATTGTTTTTGTTCCTCTGTGGCATTTCTTTGTTTGCCTACTGAGGAAATATTCCTAGTTCTAAAAATGTTGGCATGAGGATGTTTCTTTGAGACGAAATATAACTTCACAAAGAGGTCTTTGAATGATATTGGAAGTATTGTTTTTGTTCTTCTGTGTCATTTCTTTGTTTGCCTCACCACAACGTCCCATGCAAACGTCCCTATACGATGAATATTCTAATTTGTTTCCGATTTCGTTGTTCTTGTTCATATTTTCGTTTGCAGCGTCTTTTATTTATTCCATTACTACACAATACCAATAACACCAGCACAGAATATTTCACGAATATTCTGACATCGTTCAGAACGTTCGAACTTATTTTAGCTCATTTTAGAATATTCTGATAGAATATGTTCTCAGAATGATTATAAAATATTTTCATCCTGGCAAAAAATATTGAACATTCAATTTGACAGAATATTCTGAGAATATATACAGAATTGTATCAAAATATAATATGAATATTATTCTTGTATCAATATCATATATATTATTCTGTAGCCTCAATGATTATTATTATCCTACTATAATAAAGTACATCTTGACATAAGGTTCCTTTAGCGCAGTGGACAAAGTGTAAGGATTGTCCTCTGTAGGCCCGAAATTCCGTGCTGACATTGGATAACAAGCTCTTGATCTATAAACAGATCATTAGGCCTGTAATGACATACGCCTGTCCGATATTCTACAGCGCCTCACCTACCCAAATAGGTAGATTACAGGTGCTGCAGAACAAAGTTCTCCGTATCATTACAGATGGTAATCGATACACTCGGGTGGCGGATCTCCATGAAAATCTCTAACAAGTTCTATAGATTCCGTGTTCAGGGTAGTGAGCTTACCAGAAACATCACTGCCACCAGAGCTGAACATGGAATCTATAAAAAACACGGACTGATAAACGAGTCAACCGACGTTTTTGGGAAACCCCTGAATTTATCGACAACGATACGAACTGCAGCATGACATGTGTCTCGCTGGCGTCCAAGCGAGCTCTGCTATGTGGGCTGCCCCTGGAATGCCGGCGTGTATGAGCGGAGATCGCGGCAGATAGATGGAAAGGGTTTTTACTTTTGATTTTCTCCTTTATGAACAGGAACATTTCCACACATAAAAATGTTTGCATTCAACCCTAACCCAACTGGGTCCAACCAGGGCCTACTCTATCTAACCGGGCCGGAGCATCGCTTTCGTGACGTCACACTAGTAGGGACAAAATCAACGCAGTGGAAATTGTCTCTCCCGTTTTATTGATGTACCTCGGGAAAACGGTTACAGTTAGCAAAAAATATCAGGAGATCAAATATGTACAGAATAGAATTTTCCAGAAGATGAATCAACTTTCACTGATTTACGATCATTAGTTTCAGAAATATCGCATATCAAAATCAATTGACGCTATTCAGAATTGTCCTTTTTTAAACAGCTACCAAAATTCCAATATTCAATTCACAGAAATGATTCAATCATGAAAAGATTTCTCATAGTATCTAGATTGACTGAGTTTTTTCTTGAAATTCCCAAGGGCCAATAACAAACCGATATTTCAGTTCAAGTAGAACGATGATTCAGGTGTTCATTACAGAATAGTTCAAAAAGTTCGGACGCCTCCCATGCTAATCCTATCAACTGTGGATATATGCTGCCACTGACTTTTTTGTAGGAAATTTAATTGCCTACAAAATGGTACAATACACATCCACTTTATTTCAAAGGGTTTTAGCAGCGTTTATGTCTAAAGATGATCAGGACGCACTTTGATGACGTTAGAAATCCTATCACTCGAGTGTGTTATTACACAAAAACGCCTATTCGGTATTAATTATTTTCTGCTGAAGAGTATATATTTTAAGAATATCGTTGAATTCATGAAAAAAAATTGATTTGGATATATTTCCAAACTATCAAAATAGGTGGAGTTCATATGAACACAACCAAACAAAAATAATAAAAAAACAGGTATTTCAACAATGAGATATAATAATAAATATAACGAACTGAAAAACAGAAAACCCAGAAACACGATATATGAATAAATAAGGAAAAAAAACGATGATTCCTCATACAATCAAAACCAAACAAAATAAACTGTTGGAGTGATCAATATAACAAAATTAAAAACAAATTTATAGATATCACAAAATGAAATGCACTAATAATTAAAAATATATATACATCTAAATCACAAACTAAAAATTGAAATCTTGACTATATATCACATCCTGAAAGTTTAGTGATTTTTATATTTTTATTATTGGACTTAATCGCACTATTTTTGATTTTGCAATCATTGTTCAACAGAATATTCGAAATGGTTTCAGAGAATATTCTGATGATTTCATCAAAAGACCCACAACTGCAACATTGAATCTCTAAATAATTGATAAGGGAATTGATTTTAATTTCTAAAAATTTTTCCAAAACTTTATGTTGTGACTTACATTGTAGAAATGTTGTTTCGAATTTTTCAGACACCAAAATTTCTACGTCTGAACCATACACCATTCAGAAATAAAATGAGTATATATTATATAATGAAAAGTATATCGTTTATCGCCCTCTACCAGTCCAAGGAAATACCGCGAAATCGTATACAGCGAAATTTGGGTAAGTAGGTATATGGCTCATTTTTTACGCGCTCTTTATATTTGATTTCTTTCGGACTAATTGTAGGTAACTCTACCATTTTTTCACAATTCAATTGATACATTGTCCTTGTTCGATATACTGAGTTGGTTTTATCTTATTCCGATTCCAAATTTGCAAAAAATAGTATTCTGTAGTATAACGTCCTGATTTTCGATAAAATGGAATTTCTTTACAACGCCAGAACTCGGTATTGATACATCCTATTGGATTCATTTTTTCACCAAAAGTTGGGGAATTCGTTGGGGATCATTTCGTCTCGATTGTGTGTGCTTCTAAAATGTATAGTAAATGAGCTATAGCCTATTAATTACGAACGCACCAGTACGAACTGTTGTGAAATCTCAACCTACTAGTGTGACGTCAGCGTCGAGAGAGAGGGGATAGACTACGGCCCGGTGAGATAGAGTAGGCCCTGGTCCAACTCGAAAATTACCTACTCAACTTATAATCCAGTAACTTTATACATCACAGTATGCGTCAAATCCGGTAGTACTGATTTTTTGCAGACTTGTTCATGATAATCACCTTATGAATAATCCAAGTTTGTGACCTTGAGCGCCGAAAGCAACTTTGTCAAAAATCGAAAAAAAAAATGGAAAAAATCGCTTTTTTTAGTTTTTGCCGATTATAACCCTAAAGAACTAGTTTTTGAAAAAATAACTCTCTCATAACGTTTTTAAAGTAGACCAAATTTGCTACAATATGATATAAAAACTGTCTCTGTAGACTTATTAGTTTCCGAGATTGATGAGCCTTTCAAAGTTTTTCATTTTTTTCTAACTTCGCAATTTTTTGCAATTTTGTCGTTCTGATTGAATTTTGACCCTGATTATACAATCGAAGCCCTGTACTTTCATGATGAGATGATAAGAAAAAAAAAAAGGAGTTAGAACGAGGATTAATAAGCTGAGCTACGAATAATGAAATAAAAAAGATAAGTACAACAAAAGTTGATGAGTTTATTTGTTAGAAAATAGAGTAATAATGAAGATCAAAAAATCAGATTCATTTGGACTTGGAAGGTCCGGTTGAGGTTCGTCTGGTTCTGGATCGACGTATTGGGATGACATATCCCCATCAGGGGATGGTGATGAATCGTCGACGTCTTTTGCCCACAAGTCATACTCTGTTTCAACATCGGACAGATCGTCGCCTTCTGGGATATCTACTACTACAACATCAGGTACATTGAGGACTTGATGGATCTTGGAAACTTTTTAGAGTATTATTTTATTCAGTTTTGGTTAGATTAATTGTGAATAAAAAAAACTCAATATGATTTTGAAGGAACGCAGGTAACTGAGAGAAAACCAATACTTATTATTGTATGTGATGGCCCTACAACTAGGCGTCATCTTGCCAGCTAAAAAGTCCCGTAGTTTAGATTGCCTAGAAAGTTTTAAAAGGTGCTACAGGTGGGTCGCATTCGTGACTTCACACGAACAGTACTAGCACACTCCATCGGAGGTAATTGAAACTTCATCCCGCTAGAGTATATTCGAGTGACGCCTGAAACATTGCAAAAAATTGCGAAGTTCGAAAAAAATTATGAACTTTGAAAGGCTTAATCTCGAAAACTATTGGGTCTACAGAGACAGTTTTTGAATCATATTGTAGCAAATTAGATCTGCTTTAAAAACGTCGCCAAAATATGGAAAAAAATACGATTTTTTTTGCGGTTTTTTCGATTTTTGACAAAGTTCAAAGAAAAATCAGAACTACCGGATTTGACGCATACTACCCCCATATGTTCAGGCGACAAAGTTACTGGACTAATAAGAAGCCTCGCTTCGGGAGATGGGACTCGTTGCAGCCTAGACTATAATCAAAGATACGCGCCTCCTCGGCTTACACCAGCCGACTCCACACTGCTGGAGGATTGTTTCAACATCTCTAATATATTATGTGTGTTTCTTTTTGAAATTGTCTGTAATTTTTTATGAAATGATGAATAAATAATGTTTGAAAAGTGTAAGGATTGTAAAAATTCAATCACAAGAAAGGAGGTTCGATTCCCCAGCGGATAATGCTATTTTAATTTTTTTCTTTCTTCTTCAATGTACCCACTAGGAATGGTTTATTTTCAGCGATTAAATGTACACAAAACGCTTTGGAAAGTTTGTATTGTGTTCGCATGAAAAGGATATCGAAGAAACCAAGGCGGACATTGACTGTTCTATGAAAGTTCAATTCATGTGTATACAGAACATGGAGGTTCAATGCCTCGACATCTTGTATACTTTCAACATCTCTCGGATGTTTTTGTGCTCGATGGGTAATAGCCGCGAGCTGCTAATGCGTTTTCTCATGTATTTTTCGCCTACTAAAAACAAAAAAAAAAACGAATAATACAACAAAATTTCATAATGGGGAAGACCACTGATTCTAACCTCTTTCAATCCATGAATCATGATTTACAAAATCAATATTATAAGTTTAAGTTGTTGCGTTTTGATATCAGCATATTCCATTCGACATTTCAAAAAGCCAAATATGAAGGTGGGAGGTGCATTGTTGCAGTGTGATTGGTCTGCTCACACCAATGAATTGACACCATTTCAAATGACGCAGGAAGTGTGTGTTTTGAAATGACCATATTTTAATCTACCATTTTCATCGTCCTAGCACGAGTGAAAATCAAAGTTACATATCTAACTATACTGGTAGTTTTTTGGAAAAGAGCTCACAATGATGTCGTTTTGAAAAATGATACTCGATTCCAAACTTTGATTAACACTAACGTTCAATGAACATTTATGTGAAACATCAGAATACGCATCATGCAAGTGACAATTAAAGGTGTCAAGATAATGAAAAACTACAAAATCGTGCTGTCATGAGTTTAGCAGCCCAAGAACAGAACCCAAGAAAGGATATCGATTACTTTTGGTCACATTTTTAGGGTTGATATAATTAATTTTCATATATGGTAGGCGAAAACCTAACCTGACCTCTAGTCAAAAGATCATTTTGTTACAGACGGGACGATAACCAAATCAAAGTCTGTCATCTCAACATATGAAGTTTAGATAAAGAACCAATGCACTCTGGAGCATCTACTAGAATCAATTCACCAGAATTCAAAGGAATTCAGTTTGTTTATCCGAGATATGGTGTTAGGTACTCTCATGAATCTGAGGATAACTATATGAAGATATAAAATTATATAATTGCCTCTTGGCATTTTTCCAATTGTGTTAATTCTATTGAACAAGAAGCGTTTACATTAACATATTGTGGTGGTATACATCGCCAGTTTGACACCATACTTGGGAATTGTAGACTTTTTCTACAATCTCAAATATATACTTCATATCTTTCTGATATTTGATGTTTTTATTGATGAATTGTTTTAAATAAGAGTACACAATGCTCAATAGACAAAATTGTCGCACTAGTTTTTTAAACAACGCATGCGACAAAATAATGTCTTATAAAACTTGTATAATAATATACTATTGTATCCATAATTATGTTATGTCAGTCTTACTTGTAACTCCCTTTGAGCTTATTACAGCGCAAAAACGGTGTTTCCTTGCACGTCACTTCTTGGACATTGGGCAGCACACTTATAGTCCTGAAGTCTTCCGGCGGTATCCAATCATCTTCTTGTTCTCTATAATTATTAGAGTGAGTCGTTTGCTGTGACTGATATCGATCCTTCATAGTTTGCTTCATGTCTTCCACTTTAATCTTCAACGCTAAGAATTCTGTCTTGATACCTTCAGGCAGATGAAAAAAGTAAATTTAAAAATAAAGGAAAAAGAAAGTACAAGTTTTATAGCACTCACCAAACGTCTGCTGCGTAATAAAAATAGTAGTTTTTCTTAATAGGGTACCTACTATAATATTTTTGAAATTATTCTTTTTATTTTTCCTCTCATATTTTGAGTCAAACATCACAAGTAGCTAGATAATGAAGAAAGGGTATTTTCTATCGAAAAATATTTTTTGGGAAAATTTGATACCGTAATATAAGGAAAGAGCACTATTTTTGTTATGCAGCAGACTTTTGAAATCGATTCATCTACAAATTGGTGAGTGCTATATTGTAACTGAACAGGAGTATCATTTTTAAGTAAATATCATATTTTCATAATTCCTGGTGAAACTGCCGAAAATTGTATAGAGAAGAAATTTGGGGGAAGAAATGCCCCACCTATTTTCCACGCCCCTGATCAAAATTCCGGAAAATTCTCAACATTTCCAAATCGGACATGAAAAGTAATATACATGTACAAAATTTGGTTATCTCAACACAGTGGGCATTGGAAATATTTACAAAAAACCATCATCTCGGGCCCTCGTTCAGATTGCAATAACTCCCCAGGAGGCCATTTCTGGGCTCATGTTCATATGAACCTTCTTTACTATTTCTGTTCCTAGAATCCGTGATTGAAATCTCTCTATGTAATTTCAGGACACCCTGTATACATAAAAAATAAATATTGAGTTCTTTTAAAAAAACCAAAGAGAATTCAAATGCTTTCTCTTCTGCCAATATATTACTATTATCAATTTCAGTGAGACTGTAATTTTTCAAAAGCGAATCTGAAGCGTTGTTCCTCTGTCAATAGGTGTAATTTTTCTGGAGTACCCTAATAGCACACGTTGTTCCCGGAACGTTCAATTCATGTTCCATTTAAGTCGCAATGTCCCGGCTTTCTATGGTATATGCACGGTACGTTCCACTGAGAATGTTCCTGGAACACTTACGCATAATCATTCCAGGAACATATTATTTTGACACAGGATTGAATAAAGTGTTTAGTTTTAAAAGTTCTCAATACTTGATCCATACCTATACAATAATATGATGTTTAGGTATAGTCATCTGAAAAATTGTAAAAATGTAATGTGTGATAGCGTATGTCATAATTATGTACCTACCTATTGTTTTATTATTTATCCCCAATCTCCTTTGTTGAATGAATCATTTGAGTATCATTAACATTATTATTGAAAAAATTAACTCATATTTACATTTATACAGATGAAAATAAAATAAAAAGTACTATTTCAAGTTTATGTTAACAGACTTTCTAGGTTTTTCCTCAGAAACTTAACATTTTCATATCGCCTAAATTGATTCATTTGAAATATCACGCCAAACACCTCTTATTGTCATTATTCTCATCTATTAATATAAAAATGACGTAATTTCTTATGCTGAAGAATACACAATTGTCTAATTTATCCAAGTACCTCGTAGCTGGTCCGGGGTTTAGTCCCTGCGAGGGACATATCGTTGCTTTATTTTTGTTCCGAAAGTGTCCCAATGAGACATTCCTGGAATGTAAAATTTGCCCACAACGGCTCTACTGGGAATGTCTCTGGTATGTTCCACGAGTTTTTGGGATATTCCCGGAACACATCTATTGTCGCACGTGGACATTCTCGGAACATTTTAGGAATACACTTGTACTATTAGGGTACTTCGCTGAAGCTTCATATGCCGCTAAATGAATCAATGAATAACCAATGTTCTGTAAGCATTACAATGTCGAGAAGAGAGTTATGTTCCAATAAAGAGTTGAATAGTTTCTTTCCTGAGTGACTGTATATTGGGTAGCATCAAGACAAGTCTGAACCTGTCAGTTTGACCATCTCTAAGAAATTTTTAATATTGATGTTTGTTTCATTATTATCAGGGATTGTTTTTGAAGACTCTTCTGTATTGCTGATGTATTCGCTCGATTCACAACTTCCACTAATAGTAGATGAATCATCCTTCATCACAATTAGACTGATAGTTTTCAAGACAGTTATTTTACATCTCTCATAGTATTATTCTTAAGTTATTTTCAAATCAAAATATTCCGAAAACGGAACATAGTATCGATTTTCACCAGGAGTACTTTTTTGGTGTAAAATTGAATGATTCAAGTTCATATCATATTTGGATTGAGAAATCTAACCTCAAAAAAGTTATGTTCAAAACAACTTGGTACGAACCGTGTAACTGGCGCCTTCTATGAGAGTCAGATATAAAAACAAATTCATGCAATGTGTCAGATTTCAAGAAACATCCAAACAAAATAGCATTACAATGTTGCCAGTAGTTTCGGAATAATCCTGAAAAATGTATAAAAAAATAATTTTTTCAACACTTTGTATCATGAAAACGAATGCCGTTACGACATTTTTTCACTGAGCAAACCCAACTTATTTTGCAATGTTCTAATTACCCTAGCAAGGGGGTTAGGTTTTTTTGAAACACCCTGTATAAATAAATACATTGAGAATTCGCATTTTCTATGTGATGAAAATATCAATTCTTTCTCGGTTTATTCAACATAAAATCTGAAACGACGAACATTGCATTGTAGGTCTGTTCGCTGTGCCTCCATTAACTACAATATTGTACACCAGAGTAGATTGTGTAGCACTGATACCGTTCGGTGTTATATGGTGTACACTCACAGTGTGTTTGTTGTCAAAGTAATGTAAAACAAAAACTGGAGATAATTTACCGCCAAAACAGAGTGTTACATATGATCTTGAGGAGGTGTGAGAAGTGTAGTGCAGATAGTTGTTAGGTTAGGAGTGTTTTTGGAGCATAAACAACAATCTCTGTTTTGTAAATTATTGAATCATTTTGGTCAACATTTCTAATCCTAAGATGGATTATCCAACTACTGATGAAACAGATTTCATTGATAGATTGAAAAAAGACAACTAAAAACAGGTTTTTTCAGTACTAGGTGGGACCAAGCAGGTAATAATCCCAAGAAGCAGTGGCAGTTCATAAATTCTCTAATTAAAGGGGGAAAAAACATTTAGAAATAGAGGCAATTGAGATAGATGACACTCTCATAACAGATAAGACAGAAATTGTAAATGCTTTCAACTCACATTTTTCAAACGTAGGTCAATCAATAGTAGACAGCATTAACGTTCATCAAGCAAATACACCACCTACACATATCTTTGAAGAAATTACTATTGCAAATTCAATATATCTACATGAAACAAACGATAATGGAATAAATGAAGCTCTAAATAAAATGAATATAAATGCTGCTCCTGGTCAGGATAATATAACTGTAAAAAACCTACTTTTAGTTCAAGACCTTATTATACCAATCTTAGTCAAACTCGTCAACAAAATGTTCACAACTGGAATCTTCCCTAATGTTTTGGAAATTGGTAAAATCACTCCTATTTTCAAGGCAGGATCAAAAAATAAAGTAGAAAACTATCGTCCCATAACTGTAGTATGTGCATTGTCGAAACTCTTAGAAATTATCATCAAAAAAAGGGTCAATTGTTCTCTTACTAAATATATTGAGCTAGACAGATTCCAGTATGGCTTCCAAAAGCAATCAAACACACAGAGCGACACAATGGACTTTTTGAACCATGTTATAACCAATCTAGATAACAAAAAATATGTCATAACGATATTTGTCGACTTACAAAAGGCATTTGATGTAGTTGACCACGAAATGTTAATAAATAAGCTCAACTTACTGGGAATAAGAGGTAAATGTGCAGATCTTCTAGAAACATATTTACGAGACCGAAAACAGTATGTGTCACTAGATAAAGTCAACAGTGCACTAAAAAATGTTACCTGTGGAGTCCCACAAGGGCCAGTCTTAGGGCCTATGTTGTATTCCTTACATACACTAAACCTTAAAAAAGCCAAATTGAAAGCTCGCTACTATATATTTGCAGACGACACTGTTCTTGTCTATGAAGGAAATAACCTAACTGAATTGGAACAGTTGGTGAATAATGATTTAAAACTGTATGCCGAGTGGCTTCTAAGTAATAAACTTAAAATAAATATTAATAAAACTATTTTTATGTTGTTCAAAAACAAAAATATGGAAACCCGTGATTTGTCAATAAAAATTGGTTCCCAAGAAATAAATATAGTCGAATACACCAAATATCTAGGACTGATGGTTAAAGATAATAAGCTGAACTGGCAGGAACACTCAAATCATATTTCAAAAAAGGTAGTCCCTATGATTGGTGCTTTGTATAGATGTGGTAGCTATCTGAATACTCAAAATAGGCTTATGATTTACAATGCATACTTTCTGTCAGTTTTTCGCTATCTCATAACAACCTGGGGTATATGTCGACCAACACAATTTAAGAAAATACAGACTCTTCAAAATAAGGTAGTGAAATTTTTATTTGGATATAGCTACAGAACACATACAGAGAAAATTTATAATAAACAGGAATAATGCCCTTGGAACAAATATTACAAATAGAACAATGCAAATACACTTACAAAATACAAAAAAATCAACAAAAAGTGATACTAAATTCAACTTAGTTAACGCCGAAACTCACACATATGAGACTAGAAATCAAAATAATTTTAATCTATCAAATGTAAGAACAAACTTGGCACTAAATAACCCACTGAGCAAGGAACATCCCGGGGATGTTTGGTAACGTTAATTTCTTGTACCTTTGGTGACCTTTTTGAGATTACATCTTTTATAAGTGATAATAACATATTTCTGGGACGTTTTAATTCGTCCCTTATTTGGGCTGACTCTGCTACATCCCCAGATACACGTCGCTGTTTCGTAACAGTGAACTGACCTATGCACGTCTATGTGATCTTATTTGAGTCAATATTCCAACGCCTTCTCCAAAGTATTCTTATTTCATCCACAGAACATTTTATGTGACGTTCTTTTATCATTTTCCGTGGGACTATTATCACGAACTCGATTTGAATCAGACACGTATC